GAAATTGATCCTGCAAAATGTGTCATTTGAATACGAACGTTACTTTGAATATTAAAAGGGCTATACATGTTGTTGGTGTGCTTTCGGATTCAAATTACAAATATAGCGGGATCTGAAAAATGTTCATTTCCAGGCGAATATGACCAGCATGCATGTCTTGGGGGACCGGACTGTGGGCAACCGTGCCACGTTAACAACCCCACCTGCAGGAACCTCGCCGACGGCCTCAACGTCTACGAATGGCGCCTCAACTCTCCCTACTACGTTGTGTGCGTTAATCAGCGACTGGTCTACACTGGCGTGTGCCACGATTACGGAACGGGAGCACCTATTTTTGACGCCGAATTGCGCGCCTGCAGGTGTTCGTAAAAAATCCGTTGTTTTACAAATCACAATTGCAATGTAAATTAAAACTTTTCTCAACAACGTGTTTACGGATTTTGTTGGAATTACGTCTGCTGCGTACATGTGCAGAAATCCTGCTGCTGACAAATATAGGGAAATACTTCAGAAACTGTGCAACACTGTAGTAAGGGGCAATCGTAATATCTCGACCCAAACATGGTCCTTTTATAATTTATTGATGAATGCTTCGTTAGTCCAGATTATCTGCCGAAACAGATTCCATTTGGGACGAGTGAGTGAGTGATCGAGCGAGTGAGAGGGTCTGGGTCTGAGTTAGCACACACACTAACATGGACGTATGCACGACCACAGTCATTCTTTCATGAGTTTCATTTGTTCCAAGCAATTAACGATTTTCTCAATAAAATACAGGTGTCTATAGTTTGGAATGAACAGTATATACATGTTTATATACATATGTATGTTTAATGCCACAGTCAGCAATATTCCAGATATTTGACGGCGGACTTTGGCGTGCATTAACCTTGTTCGGCTAATTCTGTCAGACGAAACTGAAGCAGAAACTATCGTATCCCCTCTCTCCCTGAAAGATAAATGGTCCTACTATTGCGAATTTATATTTCATTGGGATGTTTCTCACATAATGCTCAGAGCGCCCTCAAACCCAATTTACTCATTCACTCAACACAGTACGCATACCATCACTCAACAGTTTGTACACGACCTGGCCATTCTATATACAGTAAGGCCTCATCACTCAAGACACCTTTAATCATCGATGATGACTGTAAGGAACATCTGTGACCAAGTGATGATGACTGTAAGGAACATCTGTGACCAAGTGATGATGAATGTAAGGAACATCTGTGACCAAGTGATGATGACCAAGGAACAGCTGTGACCAAGTGATGATGACTGTAAGGAACATCTGTGACCAAGTGATGATGACTGTAAGTAACATCTGTGACCAAGTGATGATGACTGTAAGGAACATCTCTGACCAAGTGATGATGACTGTTAGGAACATTTGTGACCAAATGATGATGACTGTAAGGAACATCTGTGACCAAGTGATGATGACTGTAAGTAACATCTGTGACCAAGTGATGATGACTGTTAGGAACATTTGTGACCAAATGATGATGACTGTAAGGAACATCTCTGACCAAGTGATGATGACTGTTAGGAACATTTGTGACCAAATGATGATGACTATAAGGAACATCTGTGACCAAGTGATGAGGACTGTAAGGAACATCTGTGACCAAGTGATGATGACTGTAAGTAACATCTGTGACCAAGTGATAATGACTGTAAGGAACATCTGTGACCACGTGATGATGACTGTAAGGAACAGCTGGGACCAAGTGATATTACTTTGTACAAGGTGTGCCTGTAGACACATCTGTGAGCCTGTAGCTGTCATCACAGCTTCAACAAGACTGTTACTTTTCTATTCTTTCAGTGCGACGTTTCGCTACAGATGCTGGTAACTTTATCAAACAAGTGTCTGGAACAGGATTGCAACTGTCTAGAACAAGATTGCTACTGTCTAGAACAAGACTGTAACTGTCTAGAACAAGACTGCAACTGTCTAGAACAGGACTGTAACTGTCTAGAACAAGACTGTAACTGTCTGGAACAGGACTGTAACTGTCTAGAACAAGACTGTAACTGTCTAGAACAAGACTGCAACTGTCTAGAACAGGACTGTAACTGTCTAGAACAAGACTAACTGTCTAGAACAAGACTGCAACTGTCTAGAACAAGACTGTAACTGTCTAAAACAGGACTGTAACTGTCTAGAACAGGACTGTAACTGTCTGGAACAAGACTGCAACTGTCTAGAACAAGACTGCAACTGTCTAGAACAAGACTGTAACTGTCTAGAACAAGAATGTAACTGACTGGAACAAGACTGCAACTGTCTAGAACAAGACTGTAACTGACTGCAACTGTCTAGAACAAGACTGCAACTGTCTAGAACAAGACTGTAACTGTCTAGAACCAGACTGTAACTGACTATAACTGTCTAGAACAAGACTGCAACTGTCTAGAACAAGACTGCAACTGTCTAGAACAAGACTGCAACTGTCTAGAACAAGACTGCAACTGTCTAGAACAAGACTGTCACTGTCTAGAACAAGACTGTAACTGTCTAGAACAGGACTGTAACTGTCTAGAACAGGACTGTAACTGTCTAGCACAAGACTGCAACTGTCTAGAACAGGACTGTAACTGTCTAGAACAGGACTGTAACTGTCTAGAACAAGACTGTAACTGTCTAAAACCGGACTGTAACTGTCTAGAACAGGACTGTAACTGTCTAGAACAAGACTGCAACTGTCTAGAACAAGACTGCAACTGTCTAGAACAAGACTGTAACTGTCTAGAACAAGACTGTAACTGACTGGAACAAGACTGCAACTGTCTAGAACAAGACTGTAACTGACTGCAACTGTCTAGAACAAGACTGCAACTGTCTAGAACAAGACTGCAACTGTCTGGAACAAGACTGCAACTGTCTAGACCAAGACTGCACCTGTCTAGACCAAGACTGCAACTGTCGAGACCAAGACATGAGCTCAACTTTTCTATTCTTTCAGTGCGACGTTTCGCTACAGATACCGGTAACTTTATCAAGCTAGTGATAAACCACCAGGACATAAACTGCCAGGCCAATGGACGTTTACACGTGACAATTAGATTTGACCCAAAATAACAAACGTTATGAACACAGTTCAATTGCAAGGTTTAAAACAGTCGCCGAAATACTGCAAAGGTAAATAGACACTATGAGAACCGTGTTATACTTCACCATCGAATAATTATTTCTAGCAACCATCAAACATGTGCGTGTACTTTCCTTTGCCCGGCTGTGTAGTTGTTTAGTTGAGGTTAAATACAACTTTGCCTTGACAAACACAACAGAGACAACAAACAATGATGACAGTGGATGAAGCCAGGGGAAGACATTATTTTTACGTCTTTTTTTCTGGGTTGGCTGGTCCAGAAACTGAGGGACACAAACACTCCCCCTTTAAAAGAAAAGAAGATGTTTACAACAAACGCTGTGATTGTGTCCACAGTTTCCTTCACACGCCTGAACTATATATCAAACCTTACCATATGCACCTTTACTGTTAATCATTACGATAAATGAATAACACACCCTATCCTTAATATATAAATTACAAATTTAAACGGCACGCGAACGCACTACACACTGACCCAAACTGATTGTTTGTGTTTTCATCCATTCTACAAGAAAAATTAAAGTATTAAGAAAAAGTCTTTATGATAGGTATTATGACACAATGTGGTTCTAAACAGAATAACCGTGTGTTACCGCTTATTCCAAAATATAGACTCTAGTGTTTCATTGAGGAGGTCGATTATTGCTTGCAACAACTAATAACTATGGTGTTTTAAGTCAGTGCTTGATGTTATCATTAGTAGAATGCAAAAACTAAAAAAAGGGGTAACAGAATTGTAATAAACTCATTTTGTCCCAGCCAGCTGGCTACATGAAAAGTGTGTAGCCATTTCCACTGACAAGACCTGAAATATTATAACTATAAAAAGTTACCCTCACTACATGATTTGTTGATGAAAGAAATTGGGACAAGTGACATATCAACTAATGCGACAAGCCAGTATGTTTCCTAAGTACTAACATCTTTTGACCTGACTCCAAGATAAGATTGGTTGGTTTGTTTGTTTTTTTAACTCCGCACTCATCAATATTCCAGCTATATGACGGCGACCAGACAATCCAGTGATTAATATCATGAGCATCGATCAGCGCAATTGAGATTGATGACATGCATCAACCAAGTCAGTGAGCCTGACCACCTGATCCCGTTAGGGGCCTTACGACAAGCAGTCGCCTTTTACGGCATGCATGGGTTGCTGAAGACCTATTCTACCCCGGATCTTCACGGGTCTTTCATCTATTGACTGGGCAGACACGCAGACATTTAACTCGTCTTCATAAAGATTTTGATAAGCTCAACGTAGACGCATATAACGGCAGGTGGATGAACACCTTTACGCGTACCAGACGTACACAACGGCTGTCAATTATATCAGCTGTTAACGATACTGATTGTGTCACACTAAGAAATGGTAATGATATAAAAATGAAATGAGACAGGCCCTGTTCAATTTCAATAAAAGACAAACTGTTATGCTGGTAGTGAGAAGCTACTAACTTGATCTGATGGTCAGGCTCTTTGACTCGTTTGATTGCGTGTCCCCCTCCCCAAAATATATATCACTGGATTGTGTGGTTCAAACTCAGTCATTTACATGCTCCTTGCCATGTAGCTGATTATTGGCTGATTGCATCAATAAACAACAAAGAGAAAAATAACTTCATTCCCAAATATAGGTTACAGTGTTTCATTGAGAAGATCGTGAATTACTTAGAACAAATGAAACTCATGATCTGTGATGACTGTGTGCCTTGTGCAGGCAAAACCGAGTCCGTGCGTGCGTCTGTGCGTATCTGTGTCTGTCCATGTATGTACAATAGACTTTACAGCACAGGGAGACCCAATATATCCTTGCACATAAAAAACCCATCTGTTGTTCAGATAAGAATATGCGCATTTTTCTTATCTAATATACAATGACATTTAATCCTATAGTCAAGACACCACAAGCACCTGCACTATATCGGTTATAGCGTTGATAAGGTAAGCTGTGATTTATGTTATATATCAGGCTGCATAAAAATAACAAATGGAAGTGGAATTTAAGTTAGATAAAGCATGCCAGTACAAGTATATTCAATAAATATTTACAGTTTTAGCTTCAGTTCTACACGTATTCACAAAATAATAAATGGAAGTGGAATTTAACTTACGCTGACCATTGTCTGAAGAGCTATACAGACAAGACGGGAGACAGCTGTTTTCTTCTTAACCCAAGATAACCGAGTGTGGCCGAATTTGAAGTTTCTGACTGACACACTGAGACATAAGGACATTATGATTACTATGGATACAGGAAGTGATTGGAGTCAAATTCAAACTTGTAGACCCGTGAAGATTCCGGGATAGAATAGGTCTTCAGCAACCCATGCTTGCCTTAAAAGGCGACTATGCTTGTAGTAAAAGGCGACTAACGGGATCGGGTGGTCAGGCTCGCTGACTTGGTTGATGCATGTCATCGATCCCAATTGCGTGGATCGATGCTCATGATATTTATCACTGGATTGTCTAGTCCAGACTCGATTATTTACAGACCGCCGTCATATAGCTGGAATATTGCTGAGTGCAGCGTTAAACAACAAACCAACCAACCAAATCAAAATTGTACTTTTAAAACACATTCCAAACGACCATTTACATGTTCTACACAATACGAATTTGTTATTATATTAAAATATACAGATCTAGCTCTGAGTAACACCAATCGTTTTAAAATACAAGTGAAATTTCGTTTTATCCAACCAGATGATCGCATACGACTTAATGCATAAGTTTTCTTGTAGACGATTTGTATCTCTTCTGCAGCCCCATTATGTGTGAGTGTCGAGTGTTGTACTTCCTGATGGTGTTGCTGGTCGCCCTGGAATCATGTGAGCATGATTCAATGTTTTAAAGATGTTGTATTGTGTTGTGCGTGATGTATGTGTTGTGTGGGCATGTTGTGTGTTGCCTCCGTGTGTGTGTAAAGTATATGTGTGTTGTGTTCTTGTATGTCTGTGCCTGTGTTGTGCTATGTTTTTTTGTGGTGTCTATTATGTGATGTGTTTGGTGGTTATGGTATCGGTGTGTAGTGGTCGTGTGTATGTGCTGTGCTTATTTTTGGGGTTTTCTCTTGTACAATGTGATGTATGTTTGGTGTGTGTTGTATGTGTGTTGCAATGTGTGTTTCCTGTGTATAGTATGTGTGTTTGTGTTGTGCTGTCTTTGTGTGTTTACTGTGTGTTTGTTTTCAGTGTAATGTTGGGCAAAGGTTAGGGAGGGTAGGTGGCAAGAATGCGGTGAGGATCGTTTGTCGGCGGAGGTGAGGTGAGGTGAGGTGAGGTGAGGTGAGGTGAGGTGAGGTGGTGAAATGGGGTTTAACGTTGCGTCCAAGATTCTTGCACTTATATAGCGACGTGTGTGTGTGTGTGTGTGTGTATGTGTGTGTGTGTGTGTGTGGCTGCTTGTACTAGTCCGGACTGATGCCGATTTATAGTGCTAGCCCACTGAGATACCATGCCGCAGTTTAACATGAATACCCCACTCAGAAACAGTACCATCTTTTAACGTCTTTTTGGTATGACGCGGCCACCTTCCACTCTCCGGGCGGACGCTCTACCACTAGACCACGGAGGCGGTCAGTAAGAGGTGAGCAAGGAGAGAGAAGGATGCAGTGTGTTTGGTGGCACGGTAACGAGGGGTGGTGTTGACTTCCCACTTGCAAACTAGTTTCAACCTGCCACTTCACACTGATTCCAGTATCAGCATTGATTGCACCGACAAGCGACGTGAACCCCATTTGCAACACGACGACGGAGACGCTAATACCCCACCCCGCAAAGTGTGCCCAGTACTACAATTGTAGCGCCCCAGCCATGAAATTTAACCGCATCATCTTGGGGAAGAACCTACAGGAATGTCCCCACCCGCAGCTGTACAACCCTGGAACACAGAGATGTGAGCACTACAGCATGGTCACGTGAGGCAGCAGAATGGAGCCATGGGAAAATGTGAGTGCCCAGGCTTCCTCTTCGTTTCCATAGAAGCCAAGAACATGAATATACATACCGTATTCGACGTAATAAGTGCCCAGGGCGCTATCAAAATTAGAAATATGGGTATTAGAAATACGAGTGCGTATTATACGCGAATAAATAAGTCTTGTGTACATTGATCAATCGGAAGGGGTGTTAATTGGGATTGTTCACTAGCCAATATATTAGCAAATATCGCCGTGGGCGCTTATTAGAGCGGGACGCTTATTACGTCGAATACGGTATATACCTTTTAACAGTTGTTAACTACAGCAATCCTTACTTACTGGCCAATGGCTGAACGCGCTTCACAGTAGTTGCAACATTCTGTCCATACACACAATGATGCGTTGATTCATTTCTATTGGAAAAAGTGAACACATTTGAGTTGATAATTCACAGATAACAATAATAGATGATTGTTCCTTGTGTTGCCGGGTGCACGGGTGGCCCAGTCGTTCTAAGGCGCCGCGATTCGCTGTGCAGAGTTGCGTCCCTTGGGCACGCCAGATATATAATGATTGTGGGTTCGAATTCCGGTTCGCCCCGATTATGTTTCTAGGTTTGTCAGCACCATACCCATGCTCGTGGGTTTCACCGAAGTGGTAAACGTCTGAGACCTGTATCACTTCGGGCTTTCCTCCCACATTAAGCGGACACGCCGTGATATAACTGGAATACGTCTGTTAAAAGCGGCTTTAAACCCAACTCACTCACTCACTCACTCCTTGTGTTGCCATGCTTTAACACGAACAAAGATGTTATATATGTATATATATATAGACACACACACACACACGAGCATTACGATCGCAGAAATATAGAATGTTGCAATGTACCCTAACTGACTGCTAAGGGGTGATTTCCAAATTAAAATCCAGAGGTTAACCCAGATATTGGTACGTACACAACTTAATTGTGAAGTCAGTATGTGACCACACATGATTAATAACTTATATTGAAACACAGGGTTTGGGGGTTACAGTCAACAAGAAGGCATTCAATACAAAAGGTAAAGAGGGTGACAACAGCAATAAGTAACATGCCCAAGAATTAATGTCAGTTCACCAACAAATGTTGAGAATATGCATGAGTGTTCAGTTGAATGTCTTTAAAGGGTTTGTCAGTTCTTCAGTCCAGAATAATGTTGGACAGTGGCAGGAATTCAGTGTTTCCAAATAGATATCCAAGCTGCAGTTAGCTAGCCTGTCATGTTCACGTACCCAATAAGGACAGACAACTCTAATTCTAGTACTAAACGATTCTGTAAAGCTTCTTTCGCTGCTGTTGACTGTTGTTCAAATCTGGCCACAGCAGCACTTGATATTTTTTATACCAGCAGTTCACTCGTTTGCCGCCAATCCCTACATATATACCAAAACAGCATGCGCCACTAAACATCACAATACAATACACAGAAAAGGCTCCGTATATCCAAGCAACGAGACCCGTGGTAGAATTATAGGTCTTCAGCAACCCATGCTTGCCGTAAAAGGCGACCATGCGTGTCGTAAGAGGCGACTAACGGGATCGGGTGGTCAGGCTCGCTAATTTGGTTGATGCATGTCATCGATCCCAATTGCGTGGATCGATGCTCATGATATCAATCACTGGATTGTGTAGTCCAGATTCGATTATTTACAGACCGCCGTCATATAGCTGGATTATTGCTGAGTGTGGCGTTAAACAACAAACCAACCAAATCAAATTAGAGAACTGATTTTTTAAACTTGATCCCGCTATTTCTTTCATTTGAAACCAAACGGACACGCACTTGTTGTTAGTCAGTGTTCGGTTTCAAATGACAACTTTAGGTGGATCTGTGGTATGTCTGTTTCCAGGCGAGTATGCCCGGTACGCGTGTCTTGGGTCAGTCAACTGTGGACCACCGTGTTTCGTCAACAACCCAACCTGCAGGTTCCTTCCTGACGGCCTCAACGCCTACGAAAACCGCCCCGGCTCTTCTTTCTACGTTGTGTGCGTTAATCAGCGACTGGTCTACACTGGCCAATGCCACGATAACGGAACGGGGACACCTGTCTTTGACGTTAACTTGCGTGCCTGCAGGTGTTCATAAAATATATGTTATTTTTGAAATCACAATGTCAACTGAAATTAAAGAGTATATCAACAATGCATTTGTCGGCACCTATGTATCCCCATAGGGCAAATATATCATCAGGGGTAACTGCGTTTACAAGACTAAACCTACCCCCTTGGCCGTAAGGTGGAGCAATCTACATGGCAGTTTATACATATACACATATATATATATACAAATAACTTCAAGGGCAGACAATACCCAGTCTCGATTATATGACAAAACAGATTCCATTCGGTGTGAAAGGCAAAATAGCGGTGACGATGATATGAATGAAACACAGAAAATAAGTGTTTGTTTGTTGTTTAACGCCGTACTCAGCAATATTCCAGCTATATGACGGCTGTCTGTAAATAATCGAGTCTCGACCAGACAATCAAGTGATTGACATCATGAGCATCGATCCACGAAATTGGGATCGATAACATCCATCAACCAATTCAGTGAGTCTGACCACACGATCCCGTTAGTGGCCTTACGACAAGCATAGTCGCCTTTCACGGCAAGCATGGGTTGCTGAAGACCTATTCTGCCCCGGATCTTCACGGGCCAGAAAATAAGTGATGACACCAGGTATTCGCGAGAAGGGAAATCACATTCTGCTGCACAGGTAGCACCAGCATCAACAATTTGCATAAAAAGTAGGTGTCTGTTGTCTGAAGCCGCACAACAGTACTCCTGCCTCTTCCGCATCATTTTTCTTGTTCCCCCCTAAAAAAATCAGAGATGAAATTAGTAAATCATTGGACTATTTCCCTAACATGTACATGGTCTGGGTTAAATTAACGTAAGTGGGCATCTTCCACGTGTATACTGAATCGTCAGAGCCTCAGGATCGCCCGATCCATTGTCAATAGCTGTCCTTGTCATCCACACGAAAACATAATTCTTTGATTCGTAGGGCATTTGTTACTAAACGCGGTGGCTATTGATATAGTTATATCTCTATCGTTAGAGGTTCGGGAGAATTTGTGGAATATAAAAGAAAATGTTATCTGACGTACATTGAGAAAACAACATATGAAGTCTTTGATAACATCTATGTAAAATTTGGTAGGCATCCCCATGGGCACCAATTGTGCTCCCCATCTTGCTCATCTGTTTCTTTATGCACATGAAGAGGAAGGTCTGCTCAGGTTGTGAAAAGGGAATTTGGCCAAGAAGTTGAACTTAAGAATCAGGTATATTAGTGGTCTAAAATCGTTCAATAATGGTGAAATAGCCATTTCCCTTCCACAGATGTACCCACCTGAGCTAGAAATAAAAGCAGACGAGAGATACTGCCAAATCTTTTTCATCTTTAGATCAACGCATAGAGATTCAGTTTGACAAAACACCATCCCCAATACTTTATGACAAGAGGGATGTCAAGAGGGATAAAACACTTACCATCGGGTTGTTATGAGATTTAAAACCCTCAACCTTGGGATAAAACCTCGGGGTCGACGCCACTCGGTTTTTATCCCTTGGATTCCGGTTTTGAAACTCCCCAAACACTCCGACGTGTTTTATACTACATTTAAAGATTCAGGGTGACAAAAAACTCTCCACAAGACTGAATGACAAGAGGGATGGCTTGAACTTTCCAATAGTCAGCCTTCACTGTTTACATTTCAGTACTTTTGAGGTACATTCGAGCATGTTCTTTCTGTGAATATTTCAAAGAGCGTCATGCCATTCTTTCTCATGAGTGGTTTAATCAATGTTACAACATACAAGACCTCAGCAAAGCTTTCAAAGCAAAGTTGTATGGTAGACATGTGGAGGACATTTCCAAATTTGACCCATCAGTGACAAAAATAGTGATGATGCCAGGTGAGTGTTATCCCGCCCTACCAGTGGCACCCATGACAAATACAGGTAAAGGTAAATTGTTCACCTGAAAAAACACATGAACATTTGGAACAATTCAAAACAGGGAATTGCATTCGACATTTATGTCAGTGATACCTTGACAACCACCACGTATGCACACTTCATGAGACCTGGATCAACACCTTAACGCGTGCCATCCACATTTACGGCTCTCGACTTAAGAAGCTTGCGTGCGTTCGTGCCTGTGTGTGTCCTTGAGTGTCTGTACAACAGGCGCTTCACAAAACGCGAACAGTTAATGAATCCTTGCACTTGAAAAAACATATCTGTTCAGATAACCACTTGTGCATTTCCCATATCTAAATATACACAGACATTTAAATCCTATAGTGAAGTGGTAGACAAATGACGCTTCACGTCAACTGAAGAATAGCGACTTTAATGCGCAACATTCATTCCATATTCCACACTGATAACGCCTGTTGGTTACAGGGACAGCGTATGCTGCACTCAAGACGCCTGAAGCGTAACTACAACAAGCACCTGCCCGTGAACAGGTCCAGCTCTGTGAAGGTAAGCTTACATTCATTTTAATTATAATGCTGCATAAAGATAATAAATTATTTCTTCATTCTTTTTACTGAACACAAAAGTGAGAGGGACGCTGTTGATTATTTTCCTTCCCAGAATACCAACATACATAACTGGGCACACACTGAATCTGGATCCTTAAAATATACGAAACTCGTTTGTGTTCTATTTATAGTCAACTGAGCCAACTTGAGGTGACGAGCCAATACCGAAGAAACATTTCCGTCACTTTTAGCCGTATTAAAGCTGTACTTTTGTAGTTTGGAGTAATCGTGAGATACCTCTTTTAATCTAACTATTAGTGGAATATTAGTTAGATAAAACATACCAGTATAATTATATTTAATAAATATGTTGTATTCACTGTTTTAACTTCAGTTCTACAAGCCATACAAATTCAATATGGCTGACCTTTATCTGTAGGACTATACAGGCAAGACCATAGACAGGTGC